CAGGATACAATCAGGTCATTTCACTTTAACCACAACCTCTTGGCAGCACCTTAGGTTCAGAAATGTCCAATAAGGCAAGAAAAGAAATACGGGGAAGAACAGGAGGTTTGTGGAGGTGACATACTGGTCCATGAAAATTATGGACCTACAAAAGAGAAAGCTAAGGTTTCGAGGAGCCCCAAACCTGGAGGACAACAGAAGGCACAGGGTAGCATGTAGTGTTGTTTGTGGCAAAGCCCAAAGTTTGCAGCAGGACCATGCAGGGCAGCACTGCCATCATGGGGCTGACATATATGATTACTCCAAAGACGAAGAGTTATTTCTTGGTAATCCTATCAGCAAAAAGTAAAGGAAGGGGTTGTCTCAATATTCAAATATAATTCAATAGGTGGATTAAATTGACATTTTTTTTAATTGGTTGATTGATTTTAGAGAGAGAGGAAGGAAGAAAGGGAGGGAGAGAAACAGTGATTTGTTGTTCCACTTTTTTATGCATTCATTAGCTGATTCTTATATGTGCCCTGACCAGGGATCAAACCCGCAACCTTTGCATACTGGGACAATGCTCTAACCAACTGAGCTACCCGGCCAGGGCCTAAAATGAAATTTTAAATAACACCCTTAAAATGTTTTAAAGTAGCCACAATGGTTTGCTCTATGGATGAAAAAGGGGTTCTGTGGAAAGTAACCTCACAGGGTGATCTGATCATAAATTCCTAACCAGGCATGTCGTGGTGGGTAGTCACACGTAAGGCATATAATTTTTTTTAGTAAAAGGTTTGTCTTTGTCTTAGGCGAACTCTGTCCATTGCTTTTGTGCATCTAGGTTAACATACCTTTGAAATAAGCCTTAACCACTCTCAAGAGAGCACATACACTAACTATCCTGAAATACAGTCCCTGCCTCGCTTTCTCCCACCTCCACGTAATCTTCCTTACTTTCTCTCCCTAATTCCAAAATGCATAAATGAAATCGCAAAACTGTCATTCTCTGGAGCATTTGAGATCTTGCTTCCTGGCAGTTGTCATCTGTTTGGGCTCAAACTCATAGAAATTCTCTACAGGGATGGACGTTTCTTATGTCAGCAGCTCTGTGAGAGTGTCCTAGGCATGTCTTAGCCAGAAGCACATAGGGTATATGTATGGCTACTTGCTAAGTAGGTGCAGTGCTTCTAAGTGACAGTGGTGCTTTCTAGTGGAGGTGATATGCTTGAAAGCAAGAATGAGACTCGAGCCTGGCCAGCGTGGCTCAGCGGTTGAGCATCACCCTGTGGTCTGGGAGATCTAGATTCAATTCCCAGTCAGGGCGCATGCCCAGGTTGTGGGCTCGATTCCCAGCAGGGGGCGTGCAGGAGGCAGCCAAGCAATGACTCTCATCATTGATGTTTCTCTCTCTTTCACTCCCTCTCCCTTCCTCTCTCTGAAATCAATAAAGATATATTTTTTAAAAAAGAAAAAAAAGAATGAGACTCGAGGAAATGCTGAGGTCAACGTGGAGACTGTCAAGGAGACTGATTAGGTATGTTAGAAAAGTTTAAATTTGTCTTCTATGGAGATCAATTCTATAGGGTACAATTTTTGGTTAATGGACTATAGCCGGGATATTTCTGTACCAACCAGAGAATGTGGGATCTTTATGGCTTACATTCTTATAATGTAATATATGGCAGGATTAATGAGAGCAAACCTATACAAGTGACATTTACTCTAAGGGAGGGAGCCTGGACACCTGAGCTAGTGAGGAGAGAAAATAATGATCTGTGGAGACCCGGAGAGGCTCTTCCTCCCTCCTCCTATCTCCTTTGCAGGGGAATAGTTAAGGAATTGGGCATTTTCTCACATGTTCTTACCTAAAGGTGAGAAGAGAGCTTCTCTTGAATTATGTGCAAGGGTCTAATAGCCCTGTGCAAAGCCATCTCTGGTAAAAGGCCACAGCTTTGTCACCATGTCATCACAGGCCAGTGTTGTAGAGGTAGGTGCCAAGTGGCATCCATCTGACACCAGGAGAAAAACCCAGGGGCAGAACACTGCATTGGGGTGCTTGCAACAGCAAGGAAAATCAAAGGAGTGATTTCAGACTTTTCTTCCATCTCAGAACCACTTGGTGAATTGACCACAAGGCTATAAAGTGATTTAATTGCTTCAGAGAAAACATGAGCAGTATTGTTGTTAATCCCTAATTGTACATCTTTCAACTGTTCCCCCAAAATAAAATTGTTTGGGAAGCTTTCTGTTTTTCTGTTTTTATTGCTTTGCATCTAGAAAATTGCAAATTCTGTAGCAGTGATTCCTTGCCCTGGCAAATCACCTGGGAAGCTTTTATTTATTTTATTATTATTATTTTAAAAATATGTCTTTATTGATTTCAGAAAGAGGGAGAGGAAAAGAGAGATAGAAACATCAGTGATGAGAGAGTCATTGATCAGCTGCCTTCTGCACGCCCCCTACTGGGGATCGAGCCGGCAACCCGGGCATGTGCCCTGATCGGGAATTGTAACAAGATCTCCTGGATCATAGGTCGACTCTCAACCACTGAGCCATGCCAGCTGGGCTATTTTATTACTTTTTAAAAAATATCTTTATTGATTTCAGAGAGGAAGGGAGAGAGAAAGACAGAAACATCAATGATGAGAGAGTCTTCACTGATCCGCTGCCTCCTGCACGCCCCCAGATGGGGATTGAGCCTTCAACCCGTGCATGTGCCCTGACCAGGAATCGAACTGTGATCTCCTGGTTCCTAGGCTGATGCTCAACCACTGAGCCACGCCTGCCGGGCCTTTTTATTACTTTAAAAATATATTTTTTTTATTGATTTCAGAGAGAGGAAGGGAGAGGGAGAGATAAATAGAAACATCAGTGATGAGAGAGTCATTGATCAGCTGCCTCATGCTCGCCCCCTACTGGGGGCTGAGCCTGCAACCCGGGCATGTGCCCTGACCAAGAATTGACCTCCATCTCCTGGATCATATGTGGATGGATGCTCAAGTGCTGAGCCACCCCGGCCTGACTTGGGAAGCTTTTATTTAATTATTTTTAAAAAACATATCTTTATTGATTTCAGAGAGAGGAAAGAAGAGGGAGAGAGAGAGATAGAAACAAAAATGATGAGAGAGTCATTGATCAAGCCCACAGCTAGGGCATGTGCCATGACTGGGAATCGAACCCAGATTGTGTGGATCCTAGGTCGAGGCTCAACCGCTGAGCCACGCCCAGCGGGGGGACTTGAGAAGCTTTTAAAAAGATACCGTTGCCCCGGCTGGTATGCATCGGTGGATAGAATGTCAGCCTGGACACCAAAGGGTCGTGGGTTTGATTCCTGGTCAAGGGGACGTACGTACCTGGTGGCAGGTTCAATCCAGTCAGGGTGCGGTGTGGGAGGCAACCAATTGATGTGTCACTCTCTCCCCCTCCCTCTCTGCCTTCCACTGTCTCTAAAATTCAACGGAAATAATATCCTCAGGTGAGGATTAACAACAACAAAATAATAATAAAAAGATACTGTTACTTGGGTACCATCCCAATCCAATTAAATCAAATTTTCTGGGGATGGTGTCCAGGCATTAATGTTTTGTGGGTTTGGGTTTTTTTAAATTATTTATTGTGAAGAGGGGGGGGAACATTGATCTGTTCCACTGTTTATGTACTCATTGGTTGATCCTTGTGTGTGCCCTGACCAGGGATGGAACCTGCACCCTCCGCGTGTGTGTGTGTGTTAATCCAGAGATGAGCTAAGCAACTGAGCTACTGGGTCAGGGCCAGGCATTAGTGTTTTGCCTCACACTATTCTATTAAAACGTGGCTAAAAGGATGTTTGTTTTTAGCAACAACTGATGTGGTTAGATCCTCTACAGCTAGTGCGGCGGACCCACTAATGACATTTATAAAGCTCCCCAAACTTGAACGGCCCTTCCGCAGTCCGTGAAGGAAACGCCGCCGACGCCTCTCTCTCTCCCGCTGTGCGGGGCGCAGGGCCCGGGGTGTCTGGGTCTCTGGTCCGCTCGGGCTCGGGGCTTGGCGGAGGCGCTGGGCCGGGCCGGGCCAGGGCGCGGGAGGCAAAGGTGCGGGGTGGGGCAGCGGGGCCCAGATGAAGCCCCGCGGGGGGTTCT